TAATAAAAATTTTACTAACAATTATATACTGACATGGAAAAAATTAAATAGGGAAATGAAAAACTGGACTTCAAAACATTTTAACATTTTAGGGCGAATTGCAGTGGTACAAATGAAAATCCTTGTACAGCTCAATTTTCTATTTCAATGCCTCCCAGTGGAAATTCCAGAACAGGCTTTAAGACATTGGTTTAAAAAAAAAATAGAAAGTTTCTGCTTTCACGCAAAAAAATTGAGAACAAATAAAAGGATTTTATACAGACCTCAGAAACAGGGAGGCTGGGGCATGCGCAATTTGCTAATATATTATCAAGTGGCACAGTTAGGGCATATGATTCTATTTATTATGGAAGATTTTTCTAAACAATGGATCCAGACTGAAACTATATTAGAGCCCAGATAATTTTACAAATCAAGTAAAATTATCACCCAAAATATTTTTCTAGAATAAAACAAATTGAAAATGTTTTCACTAAAATTATACTTCAAATTTGAAAGAGTAAATACGTGGCTTTGATAAAGGCTTCTCCTTTAACTCCTTTAATAACATGTATAGATCAGGATAATCATTATGGTTTAGCTAAAATGAAATTTTTGAGAGAATACAATGTTTATAGACTAAAAGATTTTTATAGCAATAGGGAACTACTCAATGAAGATCAGATAGAGCAATGAATAGGTGATAAATTACTATGGCTCTTTTGGGCAATAGAAATATTAGAGTTTCAGCAACATGGCCTTACACCAATTTCCAGAATTTAATACTTCACTATTTAGAACAACCAAAAGGAACAATCTCACAAATTTATAGGTTATAATGGCAATTAGAAATAGGAGATCCATCATATGACTTAAAGGAAGCTTGAGATACTGATCTTGGTATTCCTGTACAGGAGATAAATTGGCAGAAATTATGGAAACGGGGGGGATTCACCTCAGTTTCCATGCAAGAACTACAGTGGAAGATTATACATCGCTGGCACTTGATTCCCATTAGATTGGCACATATATATCAAAATTATTCTTCCAAATGTTGGAGAGGTCGTTAAAAAAAAGTCATTTTTTCATTTGTGGTCATGTGATAAAGCTGTACCCTTTTGGTGTAAAATTTTTTGGGAGATAAGTAACATCACTAAACAAAGAATTGAATGCTCCCCAGAGGTAGGCTTATTGCATTTATTTACAGGACCAAACCTCAAACTTAAAAATAAAGAACTTACTATCTATTTAATTTTAGAAGCCATAATAATAATTGTGAAACATTGAAAAACTTTAGATAACAGATGAGATGTGGATTAACAAGGTCTCTTCAATTGCCACGTTAAAAAAAATCACAGATAAAGTTAAAATAATAAGACATCAGAGGCAGGAACTACAATTTTTTCAAATTTGGATGGATTTTATGATTTACCTCAATAGCAATAGACTGTAATATGGTATACTTTACATATATGGTAAGTTTGTACATGTGCAGTACCTGTCTCTTTATTTATATTGTAGTAGTTCTTTCTTTTCTATATCTTTTTTTTCCTTTATATGCATCTTGAATTTATATTAATGTAGTTACCTGATATTGTTTGTTAATCATAGGTTTTCCCCATTGTTTTTATTGAACTATCACAAACATGCTATTGGGTTTTGCTTTTTGGGGTGCAAGATGCGGGTGAAATGCCGGGTCACCTTGGAATTAAAAAAAAATAGTTTGTTTTTTTGTATAATTTGAGATTCATCCTGACATGCTGATGTTGTCTTGTTTCATAATGTCCACATTTCCAGTACTGTTGGTACTCAGACTGTACCAATATTGCATTGTTAGGAATAATTGTAGGTCCTATAGCACTAAGACTTTACATTTTCAATCTAGTATTAAGTACGGGTAGTCCCCAGTTTAAGAACAAGTTCTGTTCCCAAAGTCTGTCCGTAAGTTGAATTTATTTGTAAGCCAAAACAGTATTATTATATAATACTGTATACATAATATTGTGTAATTAACTCAACCATTGTGTATTTAATTTGAATCATTGTGTGTTTAACTCAAATTTTGCTACAGTAGACTCCGTTCTTAACTATGGGTCGTCCTTAAACCAGGCATTCTTAACCTGGAGACTACCTGTACAATGTTTTTGACACTTTTTGTTGTGAATGATTAAATATCTTATTGGGAAATCTTTTTTCTGTATATTCTTCCCATCAATAGGATATGGTTGTGCAAGCGCTAAGACAAACCAATAGCCGCAGCATAGAAGCAGCCATTGAGTTTATAAGTAAAATGAGTTACCAAGATTGTCGCCGAGAACAAATGGCATCAGCGGCATCTAGGCCCCTTACTACTGGCCCCAAGCCACCAGGTATGCACATCCATATATATTCCTGGAAAGGAGAAATGGAATTAGTGTGTTTTCAGAACTGGTGACAGGAAAGAGAAAAATAATTTGAAGTAAGAGATAATGACTGAAAAATAAAAAACAAAATGTTTTTAAAAGTAGCAACTTCATTGGCAAATGTGATAAATTTTAAGAGTTCAATGTCGCAACTATCCTGCAAATTGGTTGTTGGAAACCTATTTCTTAGTTGTGCTATTTATTCTTTAGTCCGGTTGAATTAAAACTATACTTAATCAAAGACCTATAGAAATATATCTTTTTTCTTTTTAGTATTAGTCTTAATATAAAGTATATTGAAGAGGGGGGTACTTCTCTGCTTTGTTCTTTACTCTTTATTTAACCTCTGTTTCTCATCATGTATGTAGAAGAAGTGGAAGGAAGGCAATAAGGTGAGAAGGTTGCCAAAGATTTGAGTGAGCAAACTCCACAGTGAAAGGCCAGTTGCACATATATGTAAACATATAAGTAAGGCCTATTATTTTCTTTTCCTAATAAAAAGAACTGTCTCTGGAAAGGAACCTAGAATAGAAGAAAAAAGAGGCACTTTAATCTACTTCATTATTCAAGCTGTACCAAAAGCATGCTCATTTTACTGAAAGTACTAGTGAATAAAAAAAGAAAACCAATTTGAAAAAGGGCCAATTTGGGACAAAGAATTAGTAGGAAGAAAACAGTCAACAGAATCCTTTTGAAGCTTTTTTATTGCTGAAAACAATAAAAACAGCTCAATTTTACAGTTCTCTGTGTTTATACAGATCATTTAGGAGTGCCATGTGAACTCTGTGTCCAGTGACTTTGCTTTATCGTATGGGCATGCACTTAGATTAATTGTTCTAACAACCAATTAGTCTGCATCCTTTTTTAAATAAATACATATGAAATTTGATTTAAATTGTTTCTCATCTCCTTATTTTTATATCAATTCATCCTGGTGTGTTTATGTGTCAGAAATGCTTAGTTTTAATCTTTATAAAATCAGTATTCCAGTTTTAAAATGAGTAGTAAAAGAAAATCATATCTTTTTCCTTTTAAAAAAAAAAAAGGAGGAGCAGTACAGCAATCAGTTATCCGTAGACAAAGCTGGAAAGGTTCTAAAGAATCTTTGGTTCCCCAGAGACATGGTTCTGCACTGGGAGATGGCCTTACTTTTCATTCAGAAAGCCCTATTTCTCAAGCTGAAGTAGGAAGACCATTATCTGGGTCTGGAATAGCTGCATTTGCTCAAGTTCATCCTGGTAATGGACAAAGAGTGAACCCACCGCCTCCACCTCAAGTAAGAAGTGTTACTCCACCACCACCCCCTCCCAGAGGAACAACTCCACCTCCTCCTTCCTGGGAAGCAAATTCTCAAACAAAACGGTATTCTGGGAACATGGAATATATGATATCTCGCATTTCTCCAGTACCTCCAGGAACATGGCAAGATGGGTATCCTCCCCAGACTATGAATTCATCATCTATGAATTCTTCTGTGCAGGGACAAAGAGGTATTAGTTCAGTTCCTGTTGGTAGACAACCAATAATCATGCAAAGTTCAGTTAACAGCAAATTTAGTTTTTCATCTGGAAGGACTGGAATGCAAAATGGTAATTGTCAAACTGAATATATTGTTCATCAAAATATTGTGCCTGGTAACTCAGCAAATCGCCAACCACCACCTCCTTATCCAATATCTCCAACAAGCCGACAAAGTCCTACACTTTTGCAGATGCAAACAGGAGGTCCTGCGCCCCTTTCATCATATCCTAATGGGAACATTTCTCAATCTATGATGGTGCCAAATAGAAACAGCCATAATATGGAATTATACAACATAAATGTTCCTGGAATTCCAGCAACCTGGTCACAATCATCCTCTGGAAGTGGACATGACATCCCAGTATGGCAATCCAATATTCCTGTAAGGTCAAATTCCTTCAATAACCATGTTGGAAACAGACAAAATCATGCTGCAAATTCACAACCTTCTGCTACAACTGTTACAGCTGTTACTCCAGCTCCTATACAGCAGCCAGTAAAAAGTATGCGTGTATTAAAACCAGAACTGCAAACTGCCTTAGCTCCTACTCACCCTTCATGGATTTCACAACCAATGCAAACTGTTCAGCCCACCTCCTTTTCTGAGGGGCCATGTACAATTATGCCAGTCATATCACCTTCAGCAGAAGGTACGAATTACCAAGGACCACCACCTCCTTATCCAAAGCATTTATTACACCCAAATCTATCTGCCACCCCATATGAAGCTGTAACAAAGCCTGGCAAAGAAGATCAGCCTGGGTTTCCTAAGGAAGAGGACAGTGAAAAGAATGAGAACAGTGAGACAATTGATAGAGAAAAGAAGCAAATAACAACTTCCCCTGTTCCTGTTAGGAAAAACAAGAGAGATGAAGAAAGAAGGGAGTCCCGCATCCAAAGCTATTCTCCTCAAGCCTTTAAATTCTTTATGGAGCAGCATGTGGAAAACATACTGAAATCTCATCAACAGCGACTGCATCGTAAGAAACAACTTGAAAATGAAATGATGAGGGTAATTTTTTTAATTACTTTATTTCAGTTTTGTTTTGCATGGAATGTACTTTAAAATTGTAATATTACCTTTGCAATAGACTTAAGTCAAGGTTTACCAACTTTTATAGTGCAGTCCTATTAAAGTCAGTCAGATTAAATTCTTTATATTGAAATTCTTAAATATTTTTCTGGCTGTGAATTGATTGTAATTAAAGGAAAAGCAGGCTAACAGGAAGCAGTAGTAAATTGGCCATGGAAGAAAAACAGAAATCAACAGATGCATTATGTTAACTTTTTATTTTATTGCTCATGACAGAAATTGCTTATGGGAGTATAGTTGGGGAGATGGATCGCTATATTCAGACATCCACCCAGAACATAAAATGGAAGTACACCAGAAGCTTGCTGCTTCCATAGAACTATGCCAGGAAGATCAAGGATTTAGTACCCAAGCACAGCCATGGGCTGGCACTACCAGAAAGTGCTTTCTGAATCTGATATTTGCAACTATTGTCTGTGCATATAAGTTGTCATTACTAAAATAGAAACCACTATCAACTACCACAGTCAATATAAAATAGTTATAGATAAAGCTTAATGAAATTGGGGATTTGTTGGACCCTGTGATACATATCAGGTAGTTGAATAGAAAAGGTTTTTGCTTGATCTCAGTATAAATAAGGGTGTATTTAGTCTTGTTTAATATAATATAGAATGGCTCTTTTGGTGAATATTTTTAAAAAGCTCTTAACAATTGATTATCCAATAAAAAACAGGCTTCTTCAATTTCTTACTTTTTCCATGTTGGAAAAATAGTGGAATTACCTGTTTTTTGCCTGCATTAAAATAGACATAGACGTTTCAACCTCAGTAATTTTTAGTTTATATATTTGCTGGGTTTGAAGATCTCATGTCATCTTTAGAAGTGCCATTTTAATTACAGTATTTTCAAAGATTCTCTCTGGTAAATTTAATCTGTATGAATAGGAAGCTCACTGATGCCTAAGTCAGTTAAATTTCTTGTTCTTTCTACATGTTCATTCTTAGTCTCTTTCCTTTTCACTTTCACTAACAGCTCATTTAAACTATTAAGGTGTTGGAAGCTTTCCTGACATCTGTAGCCTTCGTTACTGGGTAGGCAAGTAATATTTTGGAGACAAGTATTCTATTTAAAGAATAGCATGGATCCTTTCGTATGGGACTCTGCATGCTTACATGCATTTAAATTAAGCATGCTTTCTTTCACTGTACTTGAATGTATTTATATTAGATTACTAATATTGTGTACCATATTTTATTTTTATGTTCTACAGTAGCACAAGGACAATGATACAATTACACTTTTTTATTTTGTTTATTCTACATTGTTCAAAGTGGCTGGTTTGTTTATTCTATACTCATTATACTGCCAGATACTTATTTAGGCAGATGTTTATTTATAGCACATCTTATTTTAAGATTGTGTTAAATGTAATTAAAAATAAGATTCTTGAAAGAAAGCTAGAAGTTGGAAAGTTATATGGGAAGAAATTATGTTCATTTTTCTGGTAAATAGAAGGTATATGTCAGAGATCTAGCCTAACTGACAATATAAAAGCATTTGTTGGAATTCCAGTCAAATCTTCACTTTCCTTAAAATTTGTGACTTTTAAGAATAATAGAGCTTTCTATTCAGTTTACTTAGTTTCACCAACCAAGTTCCTTGATAAAAAGTTGTCCTTAAATCCTGAGCCTCATTGTGCATGGCTCTTGTGTATGATTCTGTTTATAATATCTCATTTTAACATTTTGTTGTATATTGTTCTGAAGTGTTTCCATTGTTTCCTAATATGTTGCAAGAAAAAACTGAAATAATAAAAAATGGAAATATTATTCCCTAAGGATCAATATTGTTTACTTCTCTTAAACAATATTTTTTTTTACTATCAATTTTTTACATTTGTTGCACAGGTTGGGTTATCCCAAGAGGCCCAAGATCAAATGAGAAAAATGCTGTGCCAAAAGGAGTCCAACTACATCCGTCTCAAAAGAGCTAAAATGGATAAATCAATGTTTGTTAAAATTAAGACTCTTGGAATTGGGGCATTTGGAGAAGTCTGCTTGGCAAGAAAGGTAGATACAAACGCCTTATATGCAAAAAAAACTCTTCGAAAAAAGGATGTACTACTTCGAAACCAGGTTGCTCATGTTAAAGCTGAACGGGATATCCTTGCAGAGGCTGATAATGAGTGGGTGGTTCGTTTGTACTATTCATTCCAAGATAAGGACAATTTGTACTTTATAATGGACTATATTCCAGGAGGAGATATGATGAGCTTGTTAATTCGAATGGGAGTCTTTCCGGAAAATATGGCCCGGTTCTACATAGCAGAACTGACCTGCGCTGTTGAAAGTGTTCATAAGATGGGCTTCATTCATAGAGACATAAAACCTGATAACATTTTGATTGATCGGGATGGCCATATCAAATTGACAGACTTTGGACTTTGTACTGGCTTTCGGTGGACACACGATTCCAAATACTATCAGAGTGGTAAGGCAAGCAGTTTATCCCAAATTTGTCTTTATGTGTTAGATTATCACACAGAACAACAAAATGTTGATTTGGAATTGTATTTTCTACCAGGTTATTTGGCTGGGTACTGTAACATGCTGTTAAGTAATTATGAAGGCAAATGTAGTCTCCATCATTCATTCTAGAACATAAGAAACTTTGTGAGTGTATTTGGAATTAGAATCTTCCTCAGCCTTCTATGATGCTTTCAGTGAGTTCTTTGACTATTTTTTTTTTCAGATTTGAGTTGACTTGCTTGCTGTTCTCATTCAAAGTCAGACACAATAATTTTATTTTCTTTAAGTAGGGTAATATTTGTATTTTATAATATATGTTTATAATTTTTATATTTTAACCTGGATTTTTGGCACTTAGTAAACCACCTGGGGATTCAACTGATGATTGGCCAACCAAGTTCCTTGCTAAAAAGTTGTCCTTTAATCCTGAGCCTCATTGTGCATGGCTCTTGCATGCTAAAGCATCATCATCATCTTCATAATAAAATCCCTTTTCAAAATATATGGAATACTGCTTTTTAAAAAATTACATCAGAAACCTCCAGTACAAAATAGTAAAGTATACATCTTAACTTCCACAACTATTCAAAACCAACTTTAAAAAGGTTGTAACACTTTCCATTACAAATTTCATAAAAAGGAAATCAAAAGTGAATACACTGAGAATAGGAAGATGGCGTTTGTGTGTATGATATTTAAAAATATAAATGTTATAATTTCTGAAGCTTAGCTATTTGTTTAGCACATTCTTGAATATATTTAATTTCAGTCTTTGGCAAATGTTTAATTTTTTTTTGCCAGAATTACTTAAACTAGTAAAGTTTTCTTCCTTTCCAATCAAAATTAAAGTGTCAATAACTGTATCTTTCTGAAGATATAAAAATTACTCCCGTATTATAAATGATACTACTTCATTTACTTAATTCTTAACTCTGTGTGTGGTACTGAAAAATAAGAAAACATACAGAACTCCCTGTTTCTAAAAGTTGCAAAATCTAGTGGAGAAATTATTTTGTGGAAATTAGGGAATAGAAGGATGGAAAAGGAAATACAGTCACATATTTTGTATTTCAGTGTCTCTTTCTGTTATACAGAACATTAAAATTAAGTATCTCTTAGTCTGGAAGAAAAACAAGGTACTCAAAAATAAGGATGTGACTTCTATAGCTTTTGGGCATTCACTCATGGCTATCAGATGTGGATTGCAGACAACCCAAAAACTAATTTTTGCTGCCATCTAGTTGTTATTTTACCGCCCAGATCTGGTAGCCCTTAGCTTGCTTGGTGTGTAGATCACAGAATTAAAATAATTTGTAAAGCCTAACCAAATCAGTTATTGAGAAATGTGAGCTTCCCAACTTCCAAAAAGTCAAAGTTGGAATTAAGGAAATTATAGTTTTTTAAAAAAGTACATTAAGAGAAAACTTACAGGTTTACATTAGAGACCACTAACAGGAATTTTAAGGATTGCTGGTATCTTTTATTTGGTCAAAATTACAGACACTCTTGCCTAATCACTATTATGTTATAACCATTGGGTTTTACTTTGTTAGGTAGTTCTTTCTTTACCCTTAAAGTAAAAAAAAAAAAAGGTACAAAAGATATTTAATAAACTAAAAATTTATAATATTGCCTGGTGTTGGAGAAAGGCTTTCTGCTTATGGGAAGCTTCTGCTAGGAGGCAATTTCACCACTTTATTCTCACCCTGCTCCCTTTTTTAATTTGCCTTGCTTTAATTGAAAGAGAAGAAAAACATAAACCCATCTCACACGAGTAAGTGTCCCTTCACCCGTTTTACCCTTACAACATAATGAAATTAATAACCAACCCTTTTTAAACATTCACTGGGGTGGCCAATAAATAGGAAAAAGAATCTTTGTTGGATTTGTTTCACTTTAAGATGATAGGAAACTTAATGTTCTTTTAAGTTTCCTATCATTTTAAGTTAGCTATTGATTTGTTAATATTTAATATTGTCTTTCTTCTTGCAAATAACTGCTGTCCATCAACAATACTTTTCAATTGTTTATAAAAACAGCTAGAATAATCCAAGGCATGTTCTAGTGGTAATTGATAGTGTTCTAGATAGTAATGTTCTAGATAGTAATTGAAAAATTTTAGATACTACTTATATAGATTGACTCAAGCAAAGTTTTAACTAAATATGCTGCTATTTTGGAATATTAGGCAATTGAAATGCCACTTATAATAATTCAGGTGGTTTAAAAACCTGATTGGCAATAAAAAGCTCAATAGTTGGTAAATAGCTGGTTTCCATGATTTACCAGTTATTTTCAGATGGGAATTGTCCCAATCATTTGAGTAAAGGTCAACATCATACTTCCATCCCAACATCTTCCATATATGCCTTGCAATCTTTAATGCCTAAAATACAGTAGAGTTTTTGCTAAAAATAGAGCCAATCACCTGCCATGATATCAGAGGGGTCTCATAATAATTTTCTAATTGTGCCCATTTTTTTTTTTTGCTTGATCATTGGCATTTCATAAAGGAATTGAGGTCAGAATATATACTAAATAATGAAACTGAAAATCAGAAAGTTTACTCCCCCATCATATGATAGACCTGATTTAAATAAAATCTAGAGGTTTGACCTTCCCATAAGAAAAATCTTGATATCATCAGTCTACTTCAAATAACTTAGTTGTCACAGTAATACTTCTAATTAGACACATCAATCTTGAAGTAATATTCGTTTTTACAGTACGTAATTTTCCTCATAAGGTCAGTGAAATTTTTAATCAGCTATTTATATCAGTTTGGATCTCAAATTTTAAAAGTTGATACATTTACACCCACAAAAGAAGAAAATTTCCTTGGAATAATTATTCCCAAATGCTTAAAATAATGCAAACAGTTGAAACCCCAATTATTATAAATTTTCTTAGAAATATTAGACCCTATAGGAAGTAAATGTAGTTACTCCAATTAATTAAAAAATCTGGTACATTATTAAATAGTAATAAATAGTAAGTTATTAAATAGTACATTATCAATAAATTTTGGTACAGAAAATAATTTTCAATAAGAAAATAATTTTCAATAATACCATTAGCACATAGTTTATATTCAGCTCCAGCCACTCTTATACCCCAAATTTCCTCTTTTTATCTAATAAAGCAGATCAGTGGTTGTAACACAAATTTGCATTGCAATTTCTGTAAATGTAATTTTCTGAGAAGATGACTGCTTTTGTATGAAGTGTATAAGATTGCATAGTCAATCAGTTTTTTTAAAAAAAGAAATTAGTAATTTCTATTATATCTAACTATTTCCCATGTTATTGGAATGAGATGAGGCAGAAAAAATAAGTTAAAGCTTGGGTTCTAGCAAACCTCTCAAATTAAAGAGAATGAAAGTCAATAGCTAAGGTGAGAAACATGTTTATGTTACAGTACTGTAAACAGCCTTGCTGCAAATTAATGCCAACCTAAGTTGTAGACAGTTATATTGTGTGAAAGGAAACCAGCAATAAATGGCTTCCTTATAGCTATTGCTATGAATACAGTAGACTTCTTCAGAAATTACACTAATGGAAAGAGTTGAAATATTTATATATCCCTATTTCCTCATTTATCAGTTGTGTAATAAGTTAGAATAAGTTAACTCTGAATTGGGCTTCTCCCCTCAATGTTATTTTTAAATTTAAAAGTTACTAACAATTTATTTGCAAAGCTTATAATTCTGCCATGTCAGTAATTGAGCACATGGTTGCATAGATAAACAATAGATTGTAACATGTTGACTTACTGAGAGGCTGCATGCTTATAACATGACATTTTATTCAAGAGTTCTTCTAATGCATTATATTCTTCTTAAGCAGCTCCCAATAACTGTTTATCAAAGTAAAAATCCTCATAAATCCCTACTCATTTTAATAGAGTTTAAGAATGAGTTCCATTCCCAAGGTCTGTTTTTAAGTCGAATTTGTATGTGAGCCAGAACAGTTTTATTGCATATAAGTAGTATTGTGTAATGAACTCAAACCATTGTATATTTAACTCAAATCATTATTTATGTAACTCAGATTTTGCTACGGTAGGCTCTGTTCTTAACTTTGGGTTATCTGTAAACAGGGTATTCTTAACCTGGGGATTACCTGTAATTAGATTTTTTTTTAAAAACTCATACTTTTTTAATAGATGCTGTGACACTTGATTGATGACCATAGTTTAAACATAATATTAGTATTTGGGCTTTTGCATGTTAGGTGATCATCCCCGTCAGGACAGTATGGATTTCAGTAGTGAATGGGGAGATCCAGCAAGCTGTAGATGTGGAGATAGACTAAAGCCACTTGAACGTAGAGCAGCACGTCAACATCAGCGCTGTCTAGCACATTCACTTGTTGGGACACCAAATTACATTGCACCAGAAGTATTATTACGAACAGGTAAAACTTTCCATTTTTCCTATAACTTGGGATGCTAAACTGATGATTAGTTTTTGAAAATTATTCCTTAAAACACTTAGTTATTCTAACTACAAGGAAGTTCTACTGTGCTGTAAGACTGCTACCATCAAGCACAGTAATATAAATTATAAAAACATTCATTTGTAAGAAGCACAACATAATATATCAATATGTAAGAAATGCATTTATGAGAGTTGTAAAGAAAGTCAGATATGCTAGATGTCTAAGAAATATTGCAGTGGCATAATAGCTAGAGCATTCCTAGAAAGAAATTTAGAATTATTTTTGGTCTATGTAAATACTGAATTTTCTTTTGCTTCAGGATATACACAGCTGTGTGATTGGTGGAGTGTTGGAGTGATTCTTTTTGAAATGCTAGTAGGTCAACCTCCCTTCCTAGCACAAACACCATTGGAAACGCAAATGAAGGTATTTGGGAAAAAAATGATATCAGTTGCCTCTGTGTATAAATAATGTGTAGAAGCCAGATAAGCTTTGCTCTGCATTTAACTTGGAACGGTATATATATAACATGCTTTCCTATATTTTAATAAGTTTATATGTAATTTTAGTTGTAACTAGAAAGTGTACTTAGTTTGATATTATTTCTTCCCAAAATTTTAATATAGTGGACCATCAACCTACTTTGTTTTCATTCTTGTCATAGAAGTGTGAGATTCATCCTAATCAAAGAGAGGAAGCAATATGCTTTCACTGTAAGACCTCCTAGTAGACAACACTAATTGTTACCTTGCTTAATCTGTGGGGCGTATTTTTATTGATTTCTTCATGTATTTAGCCACTCTTTTGAAGTAGGAGTCACAGTTAAGAAGAATGTATTAATGGTTTGTTCTAGTCTTTCTTTTTTTTTAATAGTAATTTTATTAAAAATTACAACTGCAAAGATAAAAATGAATACAAACTAAAAAGAAAAAGAAAAAATAGAAGGTGCAGAAAAGAAAAAATAGAAAAATAGAAAAGAAAGTAAAAATAAAAATAAAGAAAAAATAAAAGTGAAGAAAGCAAAAGGAAATATATAAAGAAATTACTTCCCCCTTCATCACAAGTATAAACAATTACAGTAATTTATCACCTTCTCTTAAAATATAACAAATTATCTCTTCTTCCCATATCCCATCTCTTATCTATAAACAAACCCGTAAAGCCTAATCATTTCAGTCCTGATTACCAAAAGTCAATTAAGGATTACTAGAGATAAAAACATATCTATTTTAACCTTGATCAGATAAACCAACTTTATATTCCTTCCTTTTACTTCCAACAATCTTGATTTTTAGTCCCTTCAAGTAATGTCCAAAAACTTGATTTCTTTTTTTTCTTTGTCCCTTCTCACAAAATTCTTCAGTTTTAACAAGCCTCTTTTGTAAATCTAATATAGGAAAATAATCCAGGTCACTCTCTTGGTTTGTAATTTGTATACCCTTTTTAATTATTAAGACATCAGTCAGTTTCTTTTGTATGTCCAGTGTAGCATCTTTTTCCATATAATTCTTGTAGTCTGTCATTTTTAAATCCACTTTCAGATCAGTCTCAGTCTCAGGTAAAATTTGTTCCTCTTCCATCTTTTAAGCACAGTCTATCTATAGAGGCAGACACTCTTAAAATTAACTTCTGGGTCCATTATTTAAAAATATCCTTCAATATGTCCCATGTTAAAATATTTTGCTTCATTCTATATTAGTAAGTCAAATTTAAGTGTTCTTTAATTGTAATATTTAGTTCCTTCCGGTTCTCTCTAGTGTTCAACCTTCAAAGTCTCATCCTGTCGTGTTTGTTTTTTTAAAGGATTCAAAACAAAAC